TCAGCACGAAGACCACCCCGAACCACCGCCTCACCTTGGGCTCCAGATCCGCCCAGATGGTATGCCGCGACCGTTCCGCCTGCGTGCGGTGGTCCTCCCACAGGAAGCTACACTCGGTGATCACCACCCGCACCCCGTCTAACCACGCCGGCCCCGCCGCGAGCGTACCCGCCGTGGTATCCCCCAGGACAACGCAAACAAGCGGGCGTCGCCACGGGGGCCGTCAGCTCCACCACCCCCCTTCCCTTCACCGCTCCCTCGTCATCCTCATTTCCACCTTGCTGCTGCTGCTGCTGCTGGCGCAGCGCCTTGAGCTGCGCCCCCGACAGGCCGCGGACCACTCGGGCTTGAGCTTGTGGGTGACGGCTGCTGAACAGGTAGCCCAGGCAGGGCACGGTGTGGGCTCGCAGGGGAAGGCCGGTTGGCCGTGTAGGATTGGAAGGGCGGGAAGGCGCCGGAAGGGTTATGGTGCTGGAGGGGTGCAGGCCCGTGGATGGTGTGCGTTTGGAGAGGGGGTGGGGTGGTGATGAGGGGGGTTGGGGGGGTGGATTTGGGGTTGAGATTGAGGGTGGGTCTGGGTTTGGCGGTTGGTTTTGGGACTCGTCTTGAGCTTGTTCTTGTTCTTGGTCTTGTTCTCGTGCAGGGTTCTGCTGGTTGTCGGCGGGTTCAACTTCTTCCTTGGTCTTGGTTTCGGAAGTGTTGGAAGTGTTGTCCAACTTGTACTTCTTTAGGTACGGCGATGTGCTCTCGGGGGGCCAGATGCCGCCCCCTTCGCTCAGCATCGTCTTGGCATTGATGAAGTTGTCGAGAGCATCCTTCATCTCGGCGGGGCAGTAGATGTCTGGCGGGTCGCTGCGCTTAACAAAAGCGGGCGTGAGCAAGGTGTGGTCGCTGTGGCCGTGAGTGAGGAAGATGTGCTTGGGCCGGAGGTTGTTGACGACCATGCCGGCGTCCAGCAGCAGGTTAAGCTGCGGGATCACGAATGACGTGTGCCATGCTGCGCGAGAGCGGCCCGTGAGCGTTAGGTTGTGGTACGGTTTCGGGAACCGCCATTCCAAGATATCGGAGCGGGGTGATTGTGGGAGTGGCGTGGCGAAGGTTGGTGGTGGCATTCTAGCACTCAGTGACTAGTTGGGTTTGAAATAACTCAAGAATCCATGATTCATGCTGAGAAAAATAAAACGCTTATCAGCGGCAAAACATCGGTCTAGTTTAAAGTTGGAATGCCTAACTGTAACGTCCCTTACCCATGGCCAAAGCTAGGGAGCACTACAAGTCATAGACGGAGCCATCATAGAATCTGAACTACCTAGGTTCCTAAATAGGTAGGTGCTATAATGCATAACTACCAGGATATCTACGGGTTATATTCACAAAAAAGCCGACCGAGAAGGATAAGGCACTGGCACATCTTGATGCATTACCCCTCAATTTGCCTGTAGCAACTTTCCGTGAAAAATGCTGAGGCTCGTTACGGTTCTAAATAAAAGACTATGGCAACGATGGTTGCACTAGAGCAATACCTAGTAGCCCCTCTCCGAGGTACTACCTACCTTGATTACAACCCAACACCCTCACAGCGCCTCACCCACTCGCTGATGGCAGCATTGAAATTAAACAGCAGCATAAAAAGTACAGAGCACACACAACACTACATATAAAGCGGCCACGGAAGTGGATGAATAGGCTTAAATATCAGAAAATGCAGCCAGGCGTCTAGTCTAGAGTACCATGGCTCACGCTTCCTCTATGTTTGCGCCTCTGCTTGCAAATATTCAGTTCTGGACAGGAGGTTCGGCCGGCTCGTTTGACTTGGCCGCCGCCTGGGCAGGCGGGCCAGGGTGGATAGGGAGCGTTGAAGTCGGCCCCTGCCCTGCCTCGGCCGCTTGAGCCGCTTGAGCCGCTTGAGCCGCTTTTTTGAGTTTTCTCTTTTCCTTCTCCTTCTCTCTCGCCGCCTTCTTGGCCGCGGCCTTCTCCGCCTCTATCTCCTTCTGCTTGCGAAGCTCCTCGCCACCGAACGCTTCGCGCCATTCCTCAATCTTCGCCGCAGGGATGTTGGCGAACAGCAGTTCAGGCTCACCAACGGCGTGGCCCGGCTTGAGATCATTCGCTTCCCAGGTATCTGGGATCTGTGCCGGGATATCTTGGCCATCCCCGCCCGGCCCCTTGACCCCAAGTTGCCTGAGGATAGATTGCGACTTCTCGGGCATGTAGGGCGAGAGAAGGTGGGCCACGAGGTGAATGTGGTTGAGCGCGATACCAATCACAGCACGGCAGCGCTCCGGCTCCTCGGCGATGAGCTGGTTGCTGAGCTTGTTATCCTGGAGTAGCTTGTTGCCGAGCCCAGAGATGCTGATTCCGTTGTCAGTTTCAGGTTGTGTCAGGGCAGATGGGGTGTGCGACATACTTCATCACTATGGACAAGCCTGCCCTCAGCTTCACAGCCTTGAGATGTGCGACATAGTCTTGAAGGAGCTTCTCCACTTCCTCCCTGTGTTGCTGCAGAGCAGGAAATTTGGAAAGATCGTATTCGGGCACCACGCCGTCCATCTTGGCCTGGCAGAACTTGATGATACGCTGGCACAGATTGCCAAGATTCTTGAGCAGATCGTTGTTGTTGGCGTCAACAAATTCCCTTTAATTTGTTAGTGCGAGCGAGACGAGTGAAGAAAGCACGGCCAGACTCACTCCCATTTGAACTCCGAGTCGCTGGTCTCGGGCCGCCTCGACAAGAGGTAGTATCTCCAGATGTCAGCGTCGATGCCGGTATCGCGAGCGTTGGTACCGAACACGCCAACGCCCTTCGATTTGCTGAACTTTCCACCTTCGTAGTTGAGGTACTCGCAAGTGGACACGGCCTTGATCTTGGTCCAGTTCTCCTTGGTGCCGAGTTGGGAGGCGGGGAAGATGATGGTATGGAACCTGTGACCACTATTAGGGGAGCTCATCAATAATCGGCACACTACTTACGGAACGTTGTCTTTCCCCATGAACTGGTAAAGAGAGACATCATCTGGGTTTTTCCACCACTTTTCCCAGTTTGAGCCCGCCAGGTTGCCGGGATCGGTGTATGTCCTGGTAATTGAGGGGTACCCAACTGCTCAAGTTAGCGGCGACAAATCTAGGGGAGAGGCGTGGCATACTGCAAGCATCGAACCAGACGTAGAAAACCTTCTTGGCATAGTCCTCGTCGGAGAGACCGTCAAGCCCCGTGGGAACTGCGCACGGCAAATTAGTGAATCTGCTAAATTGAACCTCGAGGTGGCAGCGATAAACATACTTGGGACACCCCATTTGAGATCTCTGGTGATACCACGTGGCTTGAGCCCTTGATCCAGCCACGAGTGTGTGATAGAGACGCAATTCGCGCTCCAGGCCTTCTCGACCGTCTTGAGCCACTCTTCAATCTCGCCCTGAAGGGCGTCCAGGCGGAGGTAGAGATGCTTGGTTTGGCGCTTCTCAGGAGCGGTACCGTCCAATTTGCAGCGGGGGTTGATCAGCCAGCCGGTCGCCTTGGTCTCCTGGTTCCCGGAGGCGTCCCTCTCCGGTTCTAGAGGATCGAGAAGGTTGCCGCATGCGTCGCACTGAGGAATGAATTAGCGGCCGCGAACATTACAGATCAAACAGGGCAAATCAAACCTGGTCACCGCGGGCACCCTTGTCGTGACAGAGGCTGCACTCGCCCTCGACATATCGGTCGGCCAAGAAGGATGAGTGAGTTGGGCAGTAAGCCTGGGTTGTCTCACGCTGCTCGATGTAGCCGTTGTTCCAGAGACGAGTGAAGATGTCCTGGACGATAGCGGTGTGCTCGTCCGTGGGCGTACGGCCGAAGACGTCAAAATCGAGCCTGAACCAGTCGTAAATGTCCTTGTGGATGGCGTGATACTTGGCGCACAACGTCGCCGGGTCTACCCCCTCAGAGAGCGCCTTCGTCTCCGTCGCGGTGCCGTACTGGTCCGAGCCGCAGACATAGATGGTTGGAAGGCCCCTCGCCCGGCAGAACCTGGCAAAGACGTCTGCAGACTGTGAAGTTTGGTTAGTAACTAGAAGGACCGGAAGTACCCGGCGGAACCGCTCTGGCTTCGCAGAAACAGGGATGAGAAGAACTCGTGGAGTCACAGGCTGTTGATGTGAGATTCAGGGAGGGAAATGGAGAGTAAAAATTACCAGAACACTGCCGATGAGGTTGCCGAGATGTGGAACGTTGTTCACATAGGGAAGAGCGCTGGTGATGATAATATTTTCTTTCCCAGGTACGGGGAGGATCGGTTCTTTGGAGGCGACCATCTTGACTGCAAGGTTGCTAATGTCTTGGTCCTGGGTTGCGGTAGGAAATTGAGGGGTCCTTCTTGCTCCAAACGAACTTCATCCCACCAGAGATTATTGGGGAAGGTGGGGTGAGTCATGGTCCTGGTGGCCGATAACGGTTAAACCCCGGCGGAATCAGATTTTGGCCTGTTCGCCTCTTTTGTTCAAGATGAAACTCTCTCGTCTCAATTCTCAAGGGACATGCCAGTTCTTTCTGAGGGTTAGAATGAGGTAAAAAGAACTTGGGGACCAAAAGCAAGGATGAGGCTTTATCCACGATGATTCTGGGGAAAGTGGAGCGTTCAACGGGAATACTCTCTCTTGGATCCCATCAGGTAAACTAGCAAACTCATCATCCCTTCTGTTCTTTCTGAGATACTCGGTTTGTAATCTGATAACCAATAATATGATGAAGAGCGGGACTATCCAGTAATGCACCTATCTCGTTATCCGTGGGCGGGTCAGCATGAGTTAATGGAAGCAACTTTGAGAAGGGTATCGATGAATCACTAATATGTCGTCAGTTGTCCGCTGGCATTGTAGGACATACTTGTACCTTCACCCAGCACCTCCCATGGCACTGAGTATTGGGTCAGTTACGTGAGATAAGCAACAACATAGATAGCCATTATAGCTACAGCTCTTACCCACAAGCTCCCGATTCATACCCCTCACTCCACCTCAGCCCCCCCATCACCGCAACCACCACCGCTAGCCCACCCAGCACGCTGGCCCCGCCATACACATACGCATGCCTCCTCCTAAGCGCAGCCAGTTCCCCCACCCACGTCGACACAGTCGTCAAACACCCACAAAACCCATCCTGCACCCCCGCCAGCACCTGACACCCCACCGTCACCCTCACCCCCACCCCTTCTCCCGCACCACCCCCAACCGCCCCCGAATGCGCCAAATCCCACGCCGCCGCCAGAACCGCCGTCCCCACCACATTCACCACGAACGTGCCCACCGGAAACGCCGCAACCCGACCATTCAGCCACAGACTAACCACAAAACGAACCAAACAGCCCAGCGGCGCAAAGACCAGCGCGAACAGCACCTCGCCACGCCAGGCGGCGTGGCCGGCTGGGGGCAGGGCGGCCAGGAGCACAGCGCCGAGCCAGCAGCCCCAGGCGAGCGGCACGGCGGCGCGGTCGGCCCAGGCGTGCGGCGTGCGGTGTAGGGATGGCATGATGGGTGCGAGCGCGATGGCGAGGTGCGCGCCGAGGAAGAGGGCGGAGAGGGAGAGGGCGAGCGTAATGAGGGGGGATGGAGAGGAGCGCGAGGAAGCTGTAGCCGCCGTTTCGGGGGGGTAGTGGAGTGGATGTGCTTGGTGGGGAGGTCGTTGGCCAGCGCGAGGAAAGGTGTCGCGGATGAAGGCGGAGAAGGAGGTTAGGGAGCCCGCAGAAGCCAGTGGCGAGGCCAATGTATAATGGGATGGTCTTTTTGAGGGCGGCGTGGGTTTGTTTTGGGGAGGGGGCGCTGTTGGTGGTTTCTTCCTCGTCGGTGGACGGGCTGGGCGTTGGGGGTTGCGCCTCGCGGAACAGCATGCGGTCTTCGGAGAGGAAGCCCATGACTAAGCAGCCGGCGAAGTTGGGCCAGATGGAGGTGAAGATGACGGGGGTGCCGGGATAGTTGGTGAGGGCCTGGAGGCCGAGGCGGGCGAGAGTGCCGAGGATGGAGAAGAGGATGAGGTAGGAGATGGTGTAGAGCTGGGTGAGGAGACGCGAGACGTCGTACTTAGCCTCTTCTAGCTTCTTTGGCTCGGGTGGCTGGCGGTGGCGCTTCTGTTCCTGTACGAACTCCTGCTCCTGGGCCCGGGTCTGCTCGAGGCTTCGGAAACGGTGGATTGGTTCCTCGTGCGGGTTCTGAATGGGCGAGACATCGGCTGTCTCGTCTAGGTTGGTATACGTATCTGGGACATCGTAGCCGGGATGAGAAGTCATCGATGCCCGTCGAGAGTGTCGGGGATTCCGCTCATGTTTGAGTGGGATTCCTGAAGCGTTCTGTGGATGAGGTCGGTTTAACGAGGTGCGCGCGCCATCTGGAGAATCCAGATCGTGTGTCGAGCCCGGGGCATTGTATCCCCCAGACGTGGCCGAAGCGCGGCGGCCATGCTGTGTTCCTCGTGATGGCTCTTCATTTAGATGGTGGGACTCGGCCATTGCGCAATGCAAGCCAATCTTCTTTCGCTGCTTCAACCCATGTTTGTTTGATGTCGTTGTTTTGTGTCCGGAGTTAAATCGGACCTGGTCCGGAATGGATCGGATTTGGATGATGCCGGTACGTACCTCTTGGCAGCGGGCCCGGGCTCGATACCCCGGTTTTCCGACTGCTTGGCCTTCGTTCGGCCTTTATCTTATCTTCCTCCTGCCCCGCTCCCGGCTCACCGTCATCTCCGAGTGTCACGAGGAGGCAGGGACAGATGCATGCAGCTCAAGCCTGGGGCACCTTCCCCGACTGAGAAAGATAGCCAAGGCCAGGCCTTGATTTCTTTACCCGATCGCTGTTGCTTGTCTCGGAGTGCGGCGAGAATCCATGATGAGTCCAACCATGGAGCTCCCCTCTCCGGTTGCAGCGAATCAAGCTCCCGCACGACCTTCTGCAGATGTTTGCTTCCCAATGGGGCGTTGCCGTATAAGAGGCTAGACGCGGCGGAATACACCGTTCCTGGCTGCAGGTCCCCTTCCGTCGGATCTCAACGGTATCGCAACCTAACCTCGACCGACTCAAGTCTCCCCAAACAAAACCTTTGTTTTCCATTCTCATCTCTCCCTATTGTTATACTCTGTAGACCTTACCTTAGCCACCACCATGTCGGACCTTCCGCCCAACGTCCACGTCTCGCAGCATCCGTGCTTACTAGCCAAGCTGAGCCAGCTGCGGTCACAATACACCCCTCCGAGAGACGTCAAGGGGTTGATCCACGATATTTCCCTAATCGTAGCCTGCGAGGCGTTTGCCAAAGGACTCACCAGTCGTCCAGGATCAACTGTTCGTTATACCCCCGCCCCGGCCATCATCCCTCTAAACCCGAACCAAGCCTAACCTTTGCCTCCAGGACCAAACTCCCCTCGGCTTCGACTTCCAAACCCACCAACTCCTCCCCGCCACCGTCTCCCTGATCCCCATCCTCCGCTCCGGCCTGGGCATGGTTGAAGGTATGTACCACAACCCCTCCCCCCTTCTTCTCCACTCATTCCATACACCCACTCCAAAGAGCCATGCTGACTCAACCCACCCTCAACCCCACAGCGATCCAAACCCTGCTCCCGCACCCAGTCCCCGTCCACCACCTCGGCCTCTACCGCGAGCCGGCGACGCTGCACCCCGTCGAGTACTACAACAACCTGCCCAACCACCTGGCCAGCGGCGGCGGCACCGCGGGGGGCAGCGCGTCCGAGCTGGCCATCATCCTCGACCCGGTCATCGCTACGGGCGGGACCTGCGCGGCGGCCATCCAGACGCTGCGCGAGTGGGGCGCCCAGCGCATCATCGTGCTGTCCGTGCTCGGCGCCGCGTCCGGCGTGAAGGCGGCGGCCGCCGAGTGGCCGGCGGGTGTGGAGATTTGGCTGGCCGGGGTGGATGAAGAGTTGACTGATCGTGGGATGCTCAAGCCTGGTCTGGGAGATGTGGGGGATAGGCTGTTTTTGACTATTGGGAAGTGAGAGTGGTAGGTAGGTAGGTAGGTAGGTGGCTTGGTTGAATAGAGTCGTGGCGGTTGTTGGATGTGGAATGGAGTATATACACCTTCACCTTCCAACTAGTGACATGCCATACGCCTTTTGACACCAACCAGTATATGTGACAAAAAACAGTGGATCAAACAAACAGGCGGTATTCATTCACCATGATCGGTGCTATGTCTTAACATTCCGTCAAAGGTATCTATGCTAACTAGCCATAACCCCATCATTGTCACACAACATCTCAACTTGGTACATATTGCTCCTCATCCACAAGCGTGTCCTCCTTCCAGCAATCTTCCACCCACCTCGCAGAGACAACCCTAGGCACCGCCCTCCTAGCGCTAATCTTGTGCCGCACATCCGCCGCCACCACCTTCTCCGACGCAGCAGTGTCCTCCCTCCCACCAACAACGACCACATGCGTGATCCGCTCGTCCCCAATATCCTCCACCACCCCCCCATTCCCAAACCGCACATAGCTCGCCAGCCTGAGCGCCCCGGCCGCGGACACCCCTTCCCCGAGCGCAAAGTGCACCCGACACCGCCGGAACATGAAGCTCTTCAGGCCGTCCAGGCCGTTGCCGCGCTCCTCGAGCTGGTCGAGGAACTGGTCCGCGACAAACCCCTCGCTCTCGTCTGGCAGGTCCATGCCGTCGAGGATCGCGCGCAGCTCGTCGACGCCGACATCCCGCGCGTAGCTGTCGCCGTACTGGTCCGTGCTCTTCTGGGCGACGCGCTTCATCTCCTCGGTGGCATGCAGCAGGTGGCTTTCCTCGAACGGGAGGAGGTACCCCTCTCCGCCGGTCTGCTCGAGGCAGTCAAACACCCACTTGGGCCGCACGATGTCCGCGTCGCCGGCCTTTTTGAGGCTCGCTACCTTGACCACGTTCTTGTCCGCCAGCAGGATCATGCCGGATTCCTTGTTCACTGTCTGGTGCAGCTTGCCCCCGTTCTCTTTGAGCAGTTTCTCCAAATTGGGCTTGGTCATCTTTTTGGGCTTGAGCACCTCCGACAGGACGCAGAAGTCCAGCCCCTGGAACACGTTGGTCTTCGGCTTCTTCACGGCGAGGAACTCGGCCGTCTGCTTGGCGGCATCCGCAGCGCCGGCAATGACTAGGTCCTTCTTCTGTCGCTTCGCCGGTTTGCGCTTGCGGCTCTCCATCTCCATCGCCTTGCGCTCCTTCTCCTCCTGCTTGACCTTAGTGCGCAGCGCCTCGGACTCGTCCACGTCCATGCCGGCATCCCACGCCTTGTCGAGGCGCATCTTTCGGAAGCGCGGGAAGCGCAGCGTCCAGCCGGCGGCGAACTGGTCCGACGGCGCAAACGACGAGGCCTTGATGGAGATGACGACCGACTCGCTTGGGCGGATCCACACGTCGGGCCGCTCGTATTGCAGCCGTTCACCACCGCCCAGCTCGATGAACTCGGATGGGGGGCTGGCCGGGTCCCACTCCTTCCACTTTCCTTCGGTGTGGTGGCGCATCTCGCCGTAGTCCTCGGCCTTGAACCCGCCGCCGACCTTGCAGAAACTGAGGCACTTCTCGCGGCTGGCGGCGGCACCGGAACGTACAAAGTTCTCGCTGACGCGCAGACCGCACAAGAAGCTCGAGAGCGTGCCGCCGCGCCGCCCCGAGCCCCAGTACCCGCCAATAACGACCAGGTCGAGCGATTCACCAAATTCGGACATGTATTCGGGCTTGACTTTGATCCAGTCGTTGTTACGGCTGTTTAGCTGGTACCGCGACCGTGGGTTCTTGAGCACAAGACCCTCGGATGCTTCAGCTACGATCACGCGGAGGTGCGGTTCGATTTCGTCGGCTGATTTGGCTGTGATGTATGGGTGGATCTCTAGGCGCCCGGGCTCACCCTTGACAGCGCGTTCAAGGGCGCGGTGGCGGTCGGCGAGAGTGTATTCGGTGAGGGACTTGTCGTTGAGGAGGAGGATGTCGAAGACGCGATAAAGCGGCCGTGGACCGTTGTGAAAGGGGTTCTTTTGCTGGTCCAAGGCGGCAGTTTTGAGGGTGCCGAAGGGTACCATCTTGTCGACCTCCGGGTCCCAGGTGATCATCTCGCCGTCGAGGATCAGATTTCGCACGCGGCTGTCAAAAGCGTTCTTCAGGTGCCGGGTAAGCGCCGAGTTGTTATCTTCTAGCCCGCTCCCGTATAGGTAAGTATACTCTTTGGCCTTTCGTGACCAAAAAGCGAACTTGTAACCGCCGGGCACGTTATCATCCTCCTGCATATGCATCTGCATGCGCTCGCCATCCAATTTCTCTTCAATCCAGAACTCCTGGTCCTCCTCGCTACACCCCAAGTTTGAGACCAGCTTTGCGAATGACGTCGTCGTTTGGAACTGCGCCAGCTGTGGCTGGAAACACGACATGAGCGTGACGCCGGTCTCCTGCTGCTCGAGCCGAAACTCGGGGTCGTGCAACTCCCAACACACGCGCCTCAAGCTCGACGAGACGCTGAACAGCGGCTCGGCATCCGGATGCCACAGCCCCAAGAACGTCCTCTCCGTAGCGCCAACCTTCATCTCCTTGAGGATAATCCTCACCAGCCACATAAGCTCCTCTGCATTCATCCCCTGATAAAACTCCTCGAAAATCGGCAATTGCTCCGCCTCACCACTCGCCCCCGCCAGACGATCCAGCATCACATTGACATCCCCGATGGTAAACTCCCCCGGCTCACTTCTCATCTGCCGCTTCCCCACAATCTCAAAACACCTCCCCGCAAAATCCCCCGCCGTCGTGACACTCCCATCCCCAAACCTACCACCACCACCACCACCACCACCCCCTCCCCTGTCCCCACGCCCACCACCACCACCCCCCGGCAACTTCCAATGCATCAACGCATACCCATCCTCCGAATTCCGATCAATCTTCATAACCTTCACCAACAACTTCCCGATCGAATTCTCCTTCAGCCCATACACCCCGCGATCACGGTCCTTGTCCGGCAGGATGAGGCGCATGGCGGGGTAAAAGTCCGGGCCGACCTCTGCGCGCCAGCGCGCCATGAAGCGCTCGATGATGTGGCGGCGCTGCTCGTGGTACGAGAGCTTGGAGGAAGCGGAGGAGCCGCCGCGGCCCGGTCGGCGCGCGGGCCCAGAGGCCCCCGCCGTGGTCGGCTTGCAGTCCATGAGCGGGTTGAAGAGGTCTAGGAAGAGGTGGGAGAAGGTGGGGGTTTTGGAGTGGTTGCGTGGGCGGTTTGGGGGAAGCTTTGAAGGGGGGGGGAGGTGGTTAGCTATCGTGGGGGAGGGAGGTGAGTGGAGGGGGTGGGGGGTGGTGCTTACTGTTCGTCGAGCTCTTCGAGGCTCAGGGGGCCGCTCCCGTACTGTTTCTCATCTTCTTCAATTGCGTCGACATCTGGCGACTTGGCGCGTTTGGTTCGACTGCTCATGGTGGCGGTTGCTGGTGGGCTGTGAATGTGAGGGCGCAAGGGTGTAATGAGAATGAGACCAATCGATGGTTGTGTGAGGAGATGTCTGACGAGTATGAGAGCATCAAAACTGCCAATTTGTATTCTGAAGCTTTTGCGGAGGATTGGTAGGGTTTCAAAATCAATTCAAGGATGGAAATTGTGTGTTTTGAGGGAGAGAACGACGGGAAGAACCGCTGAAGAGGTCGTTGCCGGCATCAACTCCAGGCAGCAAGCCCATATATAACCCTAACCCCAAACATCTCAACCGACGTCACCGACCATTATTATCTCCTCATCCTGTCTCGAGCAACATCACTCATTGCACATTTATTCCATCTCACTTCCATGCATTCACCTCCGTTGTTATTGAGACCGGAAATCGTATTATTACACACTCAAGCAGACTATTACGCAGCGAAGAATACCAGACAACAAGAGAGCAAATCAAGAAACCAAGGCAACGCAAGGCCGACCGCATACCGAGTACAGTACCCTTAAAACAACTCGAGGCATGAAATTCACAATCTGGTTTTGACGTTGCCCCCTTAAAACAGAAAACAACCCAGCCTATTCATAACTCATCACATCAACCGGGTATAATGAAACTGGCTCTCCCCTCCACGTCTCTTCAGGGATCGCTATCCCCCGTCTCCATCACAACTCCGCATCCCGCATCTCTGCCCACTGCAGCGCTGCAACCTCCTCCTCCTCCCCCTCCTAATACGCAGCCGGCGCAGTCGGGTCAAAGGCGGGCGTGTGGGCCTTGAAGCCCCCATTGAGGTTGTTAACCCCCAAGGTGTTGCCGTTTGGGGCGGTGGTCTTCAGGGGACCACCGTTGGTAACCCCACCGCCATTCACGGGGTTCCCGTTGAGGGCACCCCCGTTCAACGGTGCGGCGGCGTACGCGTTGCCGTTTGTTGCGGCGTGGGAGTTCCCGGGGGCAGCGGTGGCGGCCCGGTGCGGCTTGCGCACGACCTTGGGGGCGGCGGGGAGGTCGCGGCTCTTGGCGGCGGAGCCGATGGAGAAGACGGGGCTCTCCCACTTGTCGCCCTTGCGGGCGAGGTCGCGGTACTCGGTGGCCTTGGAGCTGATGCCGCCGGGCAGGTGGATGTTGGGGAAGATGCTGTCCTCCTTGGTGATGGCGTAGTTGACCTTCTTGTCGGCCACGACACCCTCGGCCTTCTGCTTGCCCTGTAGCACCTTCTTCTGAGCGGCCGTCACGTACCGGTTGTAGATGTTGGGTGTTCGCTCCGGGTCTTCGCGCGCCTGCTCGAGCGCCCGGTCGGCCTCTTGCTTGACCTGGAACAGCATGGCGTCGAGCTGCACGGCCTGGTCCTTGATCGCCTTCTCCAGCGCTTTTTGCACGCCGGGGCGCAGGACCTTGAGCATCAGCGGCTTGAAGAGGCCGAAGAGCATCTTGTGGCTCGACTTTACGAGTTTGATGTTGAGGTTGTTGACGACGACGTCCACTTTGTCGACCTTGAAGAAAGACTGCTTGTCCCTCTCGTCTGGCGACGACAGCTTCATGCGGAAAGTGAAGCCGTCTCCGGCTAGAAGGAAGTTGGCCACCCCCTTATCCGTGATGGAAGGGAAGCCCTGCTTCCGCTTGATGTAGTAGCTGACATCCCGAAGATCCATTTGGATGCCCGCCACCTTGACATCGACTGAGTGCTTGCTGTTGCTAGCAATCTTCTTGCGACCGAAGCGCATGTAGTTCTCACTAGCAATCTCCAGCACGTTGGGCATGAAGTTGTCGCTCTCGAGGACGAGGTTCTCAATGACAGCGTCAAACTGGGGATCCGAGTACTCGATCCGCGGCACCGGGATGTAGGCGACATTCTCGAAGATAGCAGGCAGGATCACATCGGTGAGGTCCTTGATAAGGTGGGGCTTGAAGGTCGGCTTCCCGTCGTCGTCGTTGCCCAGATCGGTAAACAGTTTGGTCAGCGAGGCGGCAAAAGCCTTGTTCTGCGGGTCCTGGTCGAACTGGTCGGCCAGGAACTTGATCTCGTCCACGATGCGGTCGGTATGACTACGGTACTTGTCACGGAGCAGGTAGTTGCCCTCGTCGTACAGGCGGTTCCACTGCACATTGGACTCGTCATCGAGGATGTATCCCTGCTCTTGCAGGCAGCGGCGGACATACTGGTTCAGGGCCTTGAACCAGTTCCGTAGCTGAGGGTCGCGATCTGCATCTTCGTAGATGGTGTTGATCGAGGCCCACAGATCATCCGTGGAGGTGCCATTGGCAAACCGCTCGATCAGCGTCTTGAGGTCGGTCTCGGCTTGGACTAAACTCGAGCGAGCGTCCTTGACGGTGCCTGAACCGCCCCGGGCTAGCCGGTTAGCGTGGTCGCTGTACTCCTCGGCGAGGTCCAGCAGTGTCTGGACGGCCTGGTAATAATCAGGGTGCTGCTGGCACTCAAGAACCATTTTCTGGGGCGAGCTAGTTAGCTATCGACTGCCAAGGAGAGACTGGCCAAAGAAGGGTGACATACCTTGAGACGCCAGACAGTCTGATCCCGGCGCTCCTGGGGTACCTTGCGGGAGAAGTATTTCCTCGTACGCTCTCGGTACTCCTCACGTCTTGCGCGGGCCCTCTCTTTGGTCTCTTCGTCAACGTTTTCATTGACGTTGCGCTTCAGGGCGTCCTTGGTTGTGACTGCACCTCCCAATGCGTCGGCCCCCGAGGTGGCGCCGGTCTGGCGATCGTGCGCCGCGGTGGCTGCCAAATCCCTGGGGTCCGTGGAACCTGATGGGTGGGCGCTGGATGTACCTTCAGCCGTCGCAGCCCTCACGTCCTCCTTGGGATTTCCCTTGTAGTAGTTCTGCAGTCTGCCCTTCACCGCGTCCTTTGACATATCTGGCGCATCGTGCCAGGTATTATCCTGAGCGGGGTGGTCGAGCTGGGCGAGGTCTTCTTGGCTAGGCCTGACGCGAGCGGCGGCGTTCGTGGCGGCATCTCCGGCCATGTCGCGGAGGAGAATCGTGGCATCCTTGACTGCGTGGGGTTAGCATGCTTTCTCAAACTTAGAAGTATGTATGTGCGTGTAGCTACCGAGGAGTACGTACGAAGCTTCCGGAACTGGCCATTGGTGATGATCAGGGTGCCGAGAGTTCGCAGGCCTTCGAGAGCCTGGTTGCCGTGTTGCTGCGCCTGCTCTTTGCTTAAGGGGGCGCCGGGGGTCGACACCGCCTTGGGGTCGAACTGCTGGGTTTGCCAGATGAAATCCTGAAGCAGGTTCCCATCATTTTTGGACAAGAGCAGATGTTTGGCCTGCCTCACCACTTCCTTGGCGTCGGCTACGAGTGCCTGCCCCTCTGGTGAGAGCCTCTGAGAAGGGCCCGAGAGCGCCTTGGACTCAAGAAAGCTGTTCAGGGCCACATCAATCTGATCGTTCTGTGGACGTGTGCATATTAGTTTCTACGCTCTCCACGAGGAACGCGAGGGCACGCACCGAAGGGACTTTGCCCGTTTTGAAAGCACTAATGATGCCGTATATCTGGAGTTTGCGGTTGACGTCGGCCTCCTTCTGCTTGATATCTGTGGGTTTGTTGACGCTGGGTGCCATTTTGTATGGGTTTCTGGTGGGTGGTTGTTGTTAAAGGTCGGGTTGGAGTTGATATCACACACGTCGAGATGGTATTTTGGACGGGGGGGGGGGTATCAAAAAGGGAAACAAATTTGGGGTATCAAGATTATTCGATGTCAGTGAGGTGAGGTCATTAAGAGCGGAAGAGTCTCGCAGGCTGGGTGCGAGCGTGGTTTCCAGGTTATTATAGACGGCAAGCCAAGGGCATCAAAGTAAAGTAACACTGGCAAGTAAAACGATGCTCACTTGGCACTTCAGGAATTCAACCGAGAAAGACGGCGGTGACGTGACACGCATACGGTACCTAGCGGTTGTGGACCCATCAAGTGCGTCATAGGAAAGAGCAAGGGCCAGCCAATTTCCTCGATTCGTCGAGGCCGGCTTTCACCTTCCTCTCACAGGGCAGGCTCGAGACAGGTTTAACTATGGGTTTCAGCTGTCCTCTAGTTGGGCAAAGGCGAGCTAGGGTGAGTGTCTGGGCGATCCCCAAGAGCAAAGCGAGTCCCCAATCTGAGCCGACCTAAGCCAGCTTCAGAATGACCGAGATGCTGCGTCACTGCTCCAGCAAGTCCAGTTCCTGGCCCCACCGCTTCCATTGACGAACAAAGCTCGGCGCGCCCTCGGCCACAACAATGATGCCTCCATAAATGTAGACAGACAGTACGAAAGTACCTACCACCCACCCAGACTTGCCAGATCTATACCTAGGTGCCTACGAGCTATAGTTACATGTACACTAAAATAATGCAGTCGAGAGCTGGCTAGACCTCGAAAGGCGGCAGTTGCTATCAATGACGTCATCCCCCCACGTGGCTCGAATCTGTGGCGCTCGCTTGGCTTTCCCAACTCTGCAAATCTGCCGTCCCTCTCTTGCCTCCTTTTACCCATAACAGGACCCGCGATGGGAGCACAAACATCCATGGATGACGTGGGGTTCATCCAAACAGCAAAATGAGATGAACCCTCCCTAGCAGGGTCATCACATGCACGTGCATCTTCAATTCCGGCGAGGGTTAGGGCTTGGACTTTCCGTGCTTGCCAACGCAGCCCCCGCCCCTTACCCCTTTTTGCAAGCTCGTTTCCAAACCCAGGCCCAGCTTAATTAGCAGCCAGAGTCCAAAAGCTTTACAAGTATAGCTATTGTACTGCATTTTCATCTGCCGCACTTATTCGAACGATACATCTAAACTCTGTCCTGTTGTTGGTAACTAAGGTACCTAGTGGGTGGGCTACCCATGGCAAAGCTTGCCCGGCCGCATGCACAGCCCCTTTACCTTCCCGGCCTTTACCCCTGGCCCTTCTTCATCGACTTTAATCGCTGTGGAGTTTGGCTAAGCTTCTATTTGCTTTTGTTGTAGTTACATATATGTAAACCTTGGAGGAGATCGTGATCCGGCTGCTAACTTCTTTCTGACTGACCACTCTGTCCCACGCTGCCCCCCCCCCCCCCCCCCCAACCCCCCGAACCTCCTTTCTTTCCTTTGAGTGAACTTACTTTTGGGCCCCCTCCCTTTGGTTGAACCCCCCCAACCCTGAAAGACTTTGCCACAAGGGTTTTTTTGGTCGGATTTCCTTTGGCTGAACCCCTTGGGTTTAAATTCTTTCGTCCCAAAATCCCCCAACAAGGGACCCCGCGTCTAAACCCCGGAAAAATTTGGGCCAAGTTTTTTTTCCGCGGCCCCTAAGGCGACCATTGGGTCCCCGGGCCACGGGGGGGCCTTGAACCCTGCCCCCCGTGTTGTAAAGAACCCCCGGCTTAGGGTGGGGGGGGGTTTGCCCTTCATGTGTTTAGAAAAAAAAAAAATCCCCCCATAACCCACAAA